GAGGGAGGGAGGGAGGGAGGGAATATGGAGTCAGAAATAAATGAAATAAACTGTTAGAAGATACAGCTGACTAAAAGCTCAAAGTAACAAAGAGTAGAAGGGTGTGAATAAAGGTCTGGTTAGCTCCAATATTATCCAATTGCTCAGCTGTCTTAGTCTTCCTGGCTGGTTTCTTGCTTGTAAAGTATTCTATCTATCTCTATCTCTATCTCTATCTCTATCTCTATCTCTATCTCTATCTCTATCTCTATCTCTATCTCTCTGCCTCTATCTATCTCTATCATCTCTGTCTGTCTGTGTCTATCTGTCTGTCTATCATCTTCTATCTTATACCATCTCTAGACCATCCATCCATCCATCCATCCATCCATCCATCCATCCATCCATCCATCCATCCGGTTCTGCATTCCATATCGTCTTCTTGCATTTCCTTTGGACAAAATTTCCAAGATGCAGAAACTGTAACCGCTTGCTATCCTCTCTAGATGACATGGAGATCCCCTGAACAGGGAAAAGGATGCTCAGGAATTTCACAGAACCCTTTCTGCTCCAAACTTGAATAGTATAGTAGTTTCATCCGGACTGTGTATCAGTTTATATGTATTCCACCAGTCACTGAAGACCTCAGACATCAGCCATTGGCTTTTTTCCATATTCAGTTCAAAGCACCAATATTAACCTTTAAAGCCTTAAGCACTTGGGAATCCAGGCATCTGAAGGACCATCTCCTTTCGTACGTTGTGGATGACCGCAATGGACTTCAAAGTCCGGCTGGAAGCCTCAGCTGGCCCAGAACACAAGGTGATACTGTGTCCCAGGCCCTGCATGGAGGCTTCTTATAAGTTTCCAAGACCAATTCAAAATGTTGGTTTTAACTTTTAAAGCCCTGCTTAGCACAAAGGCACTTGCAGGACTGTCTTCTCCAACCAGTTTCAATTTACACAGCTCACATCTCTTGGGAGAATCTGCCTGTGGTTCCCCCATCTGCAAAGTGAGGGTGGTGGTGGCCACAGGCTCTGTTTTTCTACTCTGGAATAGCCTTCCCCTCAGCCCCCATGCTGTTGGCTTTTCATAAGCTACTAAAAGCAGCTATCTAGGAAAAAGAATGAGGTGTGACATCTACACATACAGGGGGTTGATTAAATTTGTTTTATCTTTTTCAGTGTTGTTTTGATGCAATGAACTGTGCATGTTTTACTGTATTTTTAATGGAAGTTTTGTAAACTGCTGAGAATCCTTCCAGCAGATAACCAAGCAATTCTGACCCCCAGAATCAGAGGGGGGTTCCAGTCACCACCAGAGGCACCACTTGAGACTCCCTGGTGTCTTGAATTTAGTCAGGTAGGCAGGATGTCTAGGGCAGGGCAAGGTGTCCTCCAGAAGTCTGGACATCTTCCATAGTTGTCCACTGATTCAATTGTTGAGGACGGTAGGCATTGAAGCCCCAAACAGCTCCTTATTCTGGAGGGGGCTATTGCTCCCCATTCCATGTCTGAGATGTACCTGGGGGCCCCTTGGGGGACCATGGGCCAGCCACAGATCTGGCCAACTTTAGGTTGACTAACCCTAACTTAAAATATCATGGCTTAGCCAATGTAGGAACCCAAAAGGGGTCTTCAATTCAGAGTCATTTCATTCCAAATGGTCTCAGTTTTTTAGTTAACATTTTTTAATCCACCACTGGTTTTTTTCCAGAGTAGAAATATTGAATATGGTTGTTTCAAATCTTCATATTTTTCCTTAAAGTTGTTTGTATACATGTATGTACAACCCCCACACATGTGCACAAATACATATTCCCATATCCTTTAGTTTCTTTCAATAAAAAACAATAAAAATGACAAAAGACTTGGAAACACCCAGGGTGGAGCCAACCAGCACTTCCCAATATTTTATCTGAGAGACGTTCTCACTCAAATGCCATATGTCTGGGAGTGATTGATATCATCATATTAGCTTATCCTCAGTGTTATAATTCTTCAGTGTATGCTTTATGTACACTATGCATTTCAATTTGTCTCACAGACATTGAAACCCAAAGTAGAAACGATGCCCCCATTTCTTCAAAGTGAATGCATCTGCTACAAGGCTATAGTTCCTTGAATATTTCACAAATACACAACGAAGACATCAGAATTGTGAAGCGAGAAAAGTGGAGGAAATTAGTGTCTCGCCCTTTGCCAACAAGTAGAGCTTCTTCCTGGTCTGGGAAGAAGTTAACTATGTTGGCGTTACAGAAGGTCTTGGTGGTTAAGAAGGTACCTTTCGAACCAGAGGCCCTCTTCTTTGTCAGTATTGAGGATGACCATGGTCCAAAGTGGACATCCTTGGGGCATCCAGCTTAGCAGCGTTTCCCATGGGTGCAGGGTTCTGAAAGATCATGAGCCTTGCTGCATCATATATAATATATCTGGAAGCCATTCTTGCTTAAATGTACAGTCAGGTCCAGAAATATTGGGACATCAACACAATTCTAACATCTTTGGCTCTATACACCACCACAATGGATTTGGAATGAACCAAAGAGCTGTCACTATCAGTGAAGCAAGCCATCATTAGGCTGAAGAAACAAAACAAACCCATCAGCGAGATAGCAAGAACATTAGGCGTGGCCAAAACAACTGTTTGGAACATTCTCACCAAAGAGCTGTCACTATCAGTGAAGCAAGCCATCATTAGGCTGAAGAAACAAAACAAACCCATCAGCGAGATAGCAAGAACATTAGGCGTGGCCAAAACAACTGTTTGGAACATTCTCACCAAAGAGCTGTCACTATCAGTGAAGCAAGCCATCATTAGGCTGAAGAAACAAAACAAACCCATCAGCGAGATAGCAAGAACATTAGGCGTGGCCAAAACAACTGTTTGGAACATTCTCACCAAAGAGCTGTCACTATCAGTGAAGCAAGCCATCATTAGGCTGAAGAAACAAAACAAACCCATCAGCGAGATAGCAAGAACATTAGGCGTGGCCAAAACAACTGTTTGGAACATTCTCACCAAAGAGCTGTCACTATCAGTGAAGCAAGCCATCATTAGGCTGAAGAAACAAAACAAACCCATCAGCGAGATAGCAAGAACATTAGGCGTGGCCAAAACAACTGTTTGGAACATTCTCACCAAAGAGCTGTCACTATCAGTGAAGCAAGCCATCATTAGGCTGAAGAAACAAAACAAACCCATCAGCGAGATAGCAAGAACATTAGGCGTGGCCAAAACAACTGTTTGGAACATTCTCACCAAAGAGCTGTCACTATCAGTGAAGCAAGCCATCATTAGGCTGAAGAAACAAAACAAACCCATCAGCGAGATAGCAAGAACATTAGGCGTGGCCAAAACAACTGTTTGGAACATTCTCATTTGTCAGCAGTCACATCATCAATAAATACAAGAGAACCAGTTCTCATTCCAAATCCATTGTGGTGGTGTATAGAGCCAAAGATGTTAGAATTGTGTCGATGTCCCAATATTTCTGGACCTGACTGTAGTTAAACTTCTATTTTGTACGTATGTACTGTTAGTTTCACCAGTGCTGCATATTCTCCAAGTTCAGGTTCCCAATCAGATACCATCGGTACTACGTCTTTTTTCCAGCACTGGGCAAAATTTGTCTTTGCAGCTGTCAGCCTGTATCTTAATAAGGTATTTATTACGGTAAATACCTTACGGTATTTTTTAATTGATGTGTTCCAGAATTCTATGAAGACATGTATTGAACGAATCACTTTGGACTCTGAAACCAAGCAAGGCATTTAGAAAATTCCTGCGTTCACACAGAGGGATTTCTCGTTCCTGCCTTAGGAGGCTGTTGGGAACTGAGAGGCATCAGTTCCTGTGCGGCAGAAATGTGGGAACTGGAAATACAGTACTGCTTCTGATTATGACTATTTTGGGCACCATGGGATATTCAGTGCTAACTCAAATCTTATTCCAGGTACTTAGCAGCAGCAGGGGAAGCGTTTCATGAGATTGCCCATAAGGGTGGCTGTACAGGCTGAACTTTGGTAAACAAGAATCTGCTTCTTTGCACATCCAAGAAGGAGATGGCAGGAGGTCCTAGAAGCTCCCAAAACAGCGTTTTCATTTGCTTCTGACTGACCTGATCATTATTTACATAGTTAATTAGAAGAAAAGTCCCTGTTATGGTCAAAGGCCACATCATTAATCATTCTGTACAGCTCAGAAAAGAAAAATATATACTGTACCTGCCAGCCCACACTTTGAGCTGCAGAATGAGGGCAAAGTCACACATCCTGGATGCAGACTGGCCAATCTCCCTGCAAACCTTCGCTGCCTTTCTCCCACAGTCCTTTTGAAGGACTGCAGAAGAATAAATTATTGGATGCACCTTGCTCTGATTCAGCCTGTACCTAAATTAAAGAGAATGGGGTCCATCAATATAAGTCTCTTATAAAAGCTTAATGTTACAATGCGTGCATTAGTTGTTTGATGCCACATTGTGTATCTGTTAATGTCTCTTTTTGTGTCCTTATCAATTTTTTTCAGAAGGGATCTTTCTCCCTCAGAGACTCCAGAACATTTTGGTGCAACTGTCAGCTTTGACTTTTCATATTTGCTATCA